AAAGTCTAACAAGACATAGAGAACAGGTGCAAGATCAAGCACCGCTTGTAATCAAGAAGATCATGAGTAAAATACGCATTCGAAGAAACATAGAAGTTACGAGTACTACCTAGGATGAAGAGATAACATAGGGAGTAATTATACAACCCTGTTTCGTTGATGGTTCCGGGATGTAATCATCCTAAGGGGGAAATAATTGTAATGCTCGTAGATTCGGGCTAGTCAATTTAGAGACGATAAGCGTCAAAAATGACTTTTTAATAGAATATTATTTAGAATAAATAATCTTAACCAAGTCATAGTATATGATACAAGGGTTCCGTACACATAAAAAACGCCGAAATCCGAGTTATAACGAAGAAGTTATGGTCCGTCGAAGTTTTACGGCAAAACAGGCACGGCACCGGGAGACGTAAATAGTGAATTTACGATAGAAGACTTTTTAGCCTTAGTGATCAAAATAAAAGTTGTAGTAAACGTTAAACCGAGAACATACAAAAAAATAACGTCAAAATCTGACTTCGTATGAGGAAGTTATGATTTTTCTAAGATTTGGCAGAGCAGTGCACAGCCCGAAATTCGAATTTTAGATCGATCGATTTTTAGCCAACGCAACCTAAATGATAATGGAATATCTCATTAATAGGAACTCAATGAAAAAAATACAGACAAAAACGGAGTCCGTATGTAGAAGTTATGAATTTTACGCGGACATTTATCAGTGTAGTCACCTTCAACTGTTAAATTTAAGATCGGTCGATAATTAGCCGACGGAGTCAAAAGGAAAGTTGTAGATCTTATTTTTAACTACGTGTGCATATGAAGAATGTCAAAAACGGAGATCGTATGCGAAAGTTACGGATTTTAGAAGTCGGAAGTGTGCTGTGCGAAAATGGGTGATGTGGCACAATCTTGGTCATTGCTTTCTCCCCAAGTCTAGCCACCAGATAGTGACATGTGGCACCAAGTTCAGCCATATTTCACCCTATAAATAGAACCTCTCCCACCCTCATTTTTCTTCACACCTTTCCCATTCTTTCTTCTCTCTACACTCTCTCTAAACCTCCCAAAAACTCCCCTAGCGCTAGAAGAAAGCCCCGGAGCGCTCGACGGCTCCGAGAAGAACAACTTTCGGCTCGGAAGTCCTGCCCCTGCAGAGCCCGGCTTCTAGCCAAACCCCCTCGTAGGTAAGATACGCCTACCTAATTTTTAATATAGCTTTTATTTAAATATAGTAATGTTATTAGGACCTTATAATAATTATTTGAGCTATTATTATGGGTTATATAAGTGTTGTTATAATATCTTTTTAACCACTCGTGGTACGGGGAATCCGGTTTGAAGGGCCGCCTGGGTTGTTGGATTTCAGAAGTGCTATATGCCAAATGATCCTGCCCTCCGGTGTTTCATGTCTGGCCCCTGTCTGTACATAGTGGGTGAAGAGTATTGTTTTAACGCTTACATAATAGTAATAATAGCAAGACTATTAATTAGTCTCGTTGAACATTAGACTAAACTCTAATGGTAATGATACTAGGTTTTGTCAAAGGAAAATTGTTTTAAGAGTAATGGAGTGTTGTCCGAGTGCCGAGTCACCACCTTTACAGGTGAGTGCATAGTTACTTTCATCTTACACATAGATATGAAGTGTTTTATATAAATTACGTGCTATGTGTGTATACTGTCTGAATACTTGCTGTCTATGCTGAGAGATTTAAAAGAGATGTAAAGCACTAGTGTAAATGAATGTAAGTTCAGTTTATGCTTATGTTTCTGTATTGACGTTGACACCCCAAATGTTTTAAAATGGATAAAAACACATTTCGTCGGAAATGCTTTGATAACGTATTTATCATGTTTTTTTTGGAACAAATTCCGCAACATTTTTATTGAAAGAGGTACTGTGATTTTTATAAAGCATAAACAAAATCGGTCTTTTCTGGCCGAGAAAATGGGGATGTCACAGTTGGTACACCTGTACATGTTTTTCTGAAAATGTTTGAAGATTTTTGAAACTTTGGTTTGTAAACAATGTTAAATACTCTGATATTTTCCAGAAAATTTATGTTAAAATGTTGTGAAAAACACAGGCCGTTACAACATATCAGCATTCGTGCTTAATTTTGAATTTCACATGGAATTTATTCTCAATTTCTCAAGAACTCCTTTTTGTCTCATCCGCTCTTTCACTCCAAATAGAAATGACTAACATAATCTATGTAAGGGTTTTCCTTCATCTTATACTCCCTTTCATTCAAAATTAGTCATAATAATTTCATAAAACAAAATATAATCACACTTACCAATACTTAATCCCACTTACTCCCTACTGACAATGAAAATTAACATATTTAATCAATATTAAATATTTATACTAATTGAGGCCTTAAGTACAAAAATATCCATGTAATCCAAATTTCCAACATACCTTATTCATCATAGGGAGGCTTCTAAATTAAATGTCCTTCACTATCTATTAATTCAACACCATGTTACACAATTAAACACTATTTTATTCCCTTAGTGATCTTTTCACACTTTAAATGTCAAAACATCTACTCATAAATCATGACGTGTTAGACTTATCCCACTCTCATGACATCATTTATAGGATTGATTTGTTAATGCTAGTGATGAAATTTTCATGATCATCAACGCGATGAACATTACCACTTCGCATACGACCAGTTTTGCACTAGATTGATAAACATAATTATCTTCATGACACTAATTCACTGTTAGAAACATACTCTTAGTTAATATGTAAATTGTAACAATCATCATTTTCAACACATTGCTTATATGTTGAATATCAAATTCCAACCTAAGCTCTAGATCATTACCTAAAGAGGTTGGGTTCATATTGTTAAGTGTTCGAAACCTAAGGTTTAAGTTATAAATATGTATGTGTATCTATATTTACTTAATTTAGTGCTCCGATACCAACATATGTCATCTAATTCTTTAGATTCCCAAGTTAACAAATACATTGGAATTTTGTTGATGTATACTATGCATGTCATTTTTTTATGACAACTTTTATATTTTTTGTTGGTTGTCAATAAAGAATGACTTACTACTTGTTATGGTGTATGTGCATTCCATATAAGTCATGAAGACAAACTCATAACTTACATATTTTCGGTGATAATGTCAAGACTTAAATGACTCCATTTTGAGACTTGTGACACTTAGAAGACATTTTTATATTTTTGGTTTGTAAAATATTAAAATGTGACACTCGATAACAAGTTTAGACACAATCACTTAGATTGCACTTTTATCGATGTTTGTGTTTGATATAAGTTGGTGAAATTCAATAATAATGGGTCATTTCCAACATACAAGGATCATTTATACAATATCCAAGAAGCGGTTTTTTTAGCGTCCCATGGTAAAACGAAGGGTTTAGGGCAAACACAAGAAACCAAAGGTAACATGGGATTTCGGGGTGGGGACACAGATACGTGATGATGAGGGAAATAAGAAATCAAGGGTGGGGCCATATGATGCATCCCTCCACATCATTTGGCTACGTTTACATTCCTAATAATAGAAAGTACATACAAGTTGTGTTTCCAATATCACTTGTGTGTAGAAGTTATAATCTACAACAAAAACAACAACAATAACAACAAATCCGTATAATCCAATTAGAATGAGGTATGTGGGAGGTAGATGCTATCAATCATGTCTTCAAAAGCGACGGTGTCATATAAAAGACGTTCAAATATAATCTACAACAATCTTAATTATTTATGATACTTAAGAATGCTATAAATTGTTATAATTCATAACGTTCTTTATGTTAGTGTGATTTAATGGGAAACTTATTGTGTTAAGCAAGAATCTGGATTAAAGTTTCTATTCATAATTCTCTATTAATATTTTGTGCAAATTATATCATAGTAGTTAAATTTGGAACTGTGTACTCGTCTTTAAAATGAAAATTAGTTTACAACTAATAAGGCTTGAGGGTGTCAGTGCGGTAGCACCCACAGTATACTACCTCACCTTATGGGAACACCACCCCAATCCTACAGTCGGTCATGGTTTGACTGAGGATGACAAGAAACAACCTCTCTCAAGAGAGAAAGCTGATGTGGAGCGTGGTAAGGATGACAGCGTACAGACTAATTTTGAAACTGAAACCGATATGACCAGACAGGTTCCAATTAGACTCCAATGGAACGAATTTCGGTTTGGATTTCTAATTTTAATTTATAAACTTAAGTTGATAAAATTAGGGTTCAAAGTTAAACGAATCTTTCATTCTTGCTTAAACCCTCATTGCCCTCTTTCTAATTCCGCTCTTTCTGGTTCACGGAAGCCTCGTCGCCCTCTTCCAAGTTCACACCCCTTTCCATTTCTAGGCTTCATGAATCATGCAGACATGCACAAAGCCATTGGCTATTCTGCAATCGCCTCTTGTCCCACAGTCGCCACTTGTCGATAACTTCTCTGTTCAACTTAAGGCCTCTCGTCGCACACTCACAACAGTTTGATTTGAATAAATTCTATAAGCAATAATTAACCACTCTTTAGTCTTCACACTCATTCTACACTTCTACTATCAGTCTCGTTCCATCACAACTTCCCGTTCACTCGTCAGCCTTACCTGCTTAATCGGTGGTTCAATCTACAAAGACAACTCTATATTTATCTTAAATTTCAGTTCCACTGATTACTTTAAATTTAGATTATTGCATCTCTATATTTAACCAGAACCTCATTTTTTGATTGTAGCTTCTGTTTGATATTCATCTGTTACTTCCATCCATTTGATTTTTCGATTATTGCATATGTTACTTCCATCAATCTGTTAAAAATGAATACCAGAAGTCCAGAACCTGATTTGTCGATTATTGCATATATTACTTCCATCCATTTGATTTTTTGATTGTTGGTTCAGAAGCTGGTCTCAAGAAGCTCAACGAGTACCTCTTATATTGTAGTTACATCACCGGGTGAGTCAAAATTACCATGTGAAAAACATCTGAATGATTCTACATTGTCTCAATGAAGGACGTGGCACTACTGTTGAGGGATCTGTTTCTTTCCCTGAAGAAGCCATTGCAATCCTCCTATTAATGGAAAAAAGGTAAGTTTCATATAAATCTTTAAAAGATTGCTTAATGATTTCCACATTTGGGTTGTTGATTTTATTTATCTTTTGTATTATATTTATTAGGCCTCGGTTGGTGAAGATAATGACAATGATGTGGATCTATTCAGTAAGGAAACTGAAGAGGAAAAGCAACCTGTTGAAGAACGCACAGAAAAAACAAAAGCATCTGCAAAGAAGAAAGAGTGTGAGTTTGATGCATTGTGCTATCTCATTGTACTCTTTAATTTCACCATTTAGTTGTTTACTGACAATGTTTTTTGTTTACATTTTATGATTATAAGCCGGAAAATCTTCAGTTTTGATAGATGTAAAGCAATGGGATGATGAAGCTAACATGAAGAAGTTGTGAGAAGTGTTCATTTGGATGAATTGATTTGGGGTGCATTTAAGTTGTTCATTTTTTTCTTTTTAATAAAATGGGAAAATGATAGATGATTAATTATATGATCTTGATTTATTTTGGGAATATTTTTTTTTATGATTACAATAAAGTTGGTTCTAGTTGGGTATGAGATCAAGAAGCTTCAGATCATGATGACTATTGTTGATGATTTGGTGTCTGTTGATACGCTTATTGAAGAAAGACTTTGTGAGGAACCAATTAATGAGATTGTTCAGAGCTGTGATATTGTTGCCTTGAACAAGCTCTGTAAGTTCATTGTTTTAATCAAATATTTTTTGTTTTTTTCTAAAGTTATATGATTTATTAGTTTACTAATGTGACTAGGTTTTGTGATTGTAGAGTTCGATGATGATGCTCATGGTTTATGATTTTCTTTGTGATGTTGATGTTGTTGTTGTTTTGCTGTTTTGTGCTGTTTTTTATTGTTGTTTTATGTTTTTTGAGATTCTTTATGTTTTGTTGTTTTGTAGTTTGTTGCTGACTTGTTAAATTCCACTTGTTGTTGTTTTAAGATCAAGTTTTTTAATTGTTTTAGTTTATATCTTGAACTCTTATTGCTTATAAAGGTTATTTTCAATGGCATGTACAAAATAAAAAAAATTAATATTCAAAAAACCGGGTACCCGGAACTAGAACTGGTCTTGGTGGTTCCGGCTGCAGTTCCAAATTCTAGGAACTAGTGTAAGTGGTTCCGGTTCCAATACCAATAATTTCAGAACCGCCGATTCCGCAAGTGGTTTCGGTTCCAACTAAAATAGAGGGGGTACCCGATTGTGCTCATCCCTAGTCGTGGTGTCCATCCATACACGCTTTTCCTTTAAATGCCATGCAACATCGTGGTCATCAACACACTACAGTGTGAAATAACGTGTTTCCCCCAAAATCTTATCTTTGACCCTATTAAATCATCAATCGATCCATTATGGGAAATGAGTGTTACAAAATTGGTTTAACTTTATAGAATACAAGTAAAGTCCCTTTTGATTTGCCCTCAATAACTATAAATAGCTAGAAATGACTTTAGGAGAGAGATAAAAGGATGTGTTAATATATCATATGATTAATTAGTTAATTAGAAATAGTTGGAATTAATTAATTATTAATAGAATTAATCTGGAATTAATTTGAGACTAATTAGAATTAATTAAAGGTGTAGGCATTGACTTGTAATTGTTCAACAATTAAGCAAGAAATGCAATTCTAGAACTGTAACATCCTTAAAAATACGGTCTGAAAATTTCATTTTAAATCATTAATAAAAGGCATAATTATCAACCATTTCATTCATAAACAAAAATGTTATATCCAATCAGAGTATAATCCCAAAACATATTCTTTTTATATCAGAGTAAAACATCCCAGGCTAAACAAATAATGGTGTGTGTCATGCGATCACCCCGAGCTCCTCCCTCCGCTACCGGAAGTACCTGAAACCTAAATTGAAAATCGTAAGCACGAAGCTTAGTGAGTTCCCCAGCCTACCGCATACCACATACGCATAACCACATACACATAACCACATACTAGGCCCCCGCCCACTGCATCGGGACTTGCCCGGCATCAGACTAGCTCCGGCATCGGGCCCCGCCTGGCATCGAGCCCCGCTCGGTATACAGATCGGTTTCTCTTAGGCCCCGCCTTTCTCTGGGCCCCGCCCGCTAACATCACACATAATAAATAGCTAAACATACTCTACTATACTCCTGTTCTAAGGCCTCGCCTGACTTGGGCCACGCCCCTGTCCTGCTATTGATAATTCATGGAACCCCGTCCACGCTCCTGCTGATAGTGAGATACGGGCCCCCGCCCACACTCACCTCCCTCCTTACTCGGGCCTCCCCCCTATTTTGCTACTAATGAGATATGGAACCCCGTCCATACTCGTCTAGTGATGAGTTACGGGACCTCGCCCACACTCACCTCCCTACCAGGCACATACAAGTATCACACAGACAACAAGTATAACTAGCATACTAACATTCCTCGGGCCTCGCCCAGCATCGGATCGTAATCCGGAACATATATCATAGTAATACCTAGGGCTAACCCCCGGGCCTTCCAACTATACACAGACATAATGGGCCGGCATTGTGGCCGTTGACCCATGCACACAGTGAGGAGACTCACCTCGCACAACGGAAGACTGGCTGAAACCTCTGGTTGCTATTCGATAATTCCCCGAACTGCTACTCCCCTAGCTCCTTGAGCTACCAATACCAACATAACACTTAGTCCCAAAATGCCCTTCAGAAGTCAAACTAAGTCAACTCTAAAAAAAGTCAAATTCAACGGTCCATGGTCAAAGTCAGCCCTCCGAGTTGACTCAACTCGCCAAATTCCTCCTTCAACTTGCCGAGTCCTAAAACCCAGATCACAGAAATCCTGAACCAACTCGTCGAATCAGCCCCTGACTCGCCGAGTTCCCTGGCTATTCAGACTTGTGCTAAACCGAGTCAACTCGCCTAGTCATTCCCCTGACTCGCCGAGTTCTTCCATAACAGAAACGGGACAACTCTCATAGACTCATTGAGTCCCTCCCTGGACTCACCGAGTCTTCCTGTCTGTTGGGCTATCTTAATGGATTAAGCCCCTACACCTCAGATCTGAACTCCAAACTTCATAAACACTCTGGAAATGACTTATTAAGGGTAAAGTTTCCAGCTTTACCCATCCCAAGTCCTTCTTAATGGGTTTAGAAAAAACCCTACCTCATTAGGACATAACTCCATGATCCAAAACCCTTATTACTCCAAACCAAAGCAGGGAAATCAAGATCTAGGCTCTAGACATCCAATAACCACGTAAAGTCCTGGACTTTACTTCCTTGCATGGCCTTTAGGGATCCAAAAGGCCATGATAATCTCTTTAAGCTTGCATGGGACATCCTAATGGCATAAATCTTGCACCTTTATGCCTTAACCACACTTAGGGGCTCCAGATCTGAATAGATCTAAGCTTGGGATGTCCTTGTCCCCATAGATCTAACTTTTGAACCAAAACTCAAACAAAAGGGACATTAGGAGATCTAAGAGGTTGATGAGCAAGGTCAAGACTTGATTACCAGAAAGTGATGAGATTGAGAAGATACTTCTGGATCTACAATCCTCTTCTTGATTCCTTCAAGCTTTTCTCCTTCTTCAAGCTTCCAAGTAGACCACACACACTCCAAAAAAATGGCTCAAAATCACAAGAAAGGCACTAGGGTTTCGTGGGTGAGAGTTTGTGGTATGGGGGCTGAATATGAGGCTGAGGGAATAAGAATATGAGGCTTAAATAGGGCACCAAGTCCCGAAATTAGGGTTTCCCAACCTAAACCAGACTCGCCGAGTCAGTCCCCCGACTCGCCAAGTCGGCCACTTAATCTGCGACACGGAACTCGCTCCTACTCGTCGAGGTCTTCCTTGGACTCGACGAGTTGACTGCTTGACTTAGGGTTTTCCTTTCCATTCTTGGTCTGCTGGATAAGGGGTGTTACAAGAACTCTCCAAAATATGGACGATTTTGGGAAGGTTTTTAGGGTTTCTGGAAGCCTCTTATAGCTAATAAGGATAACCGCCTTGAATAGATTATATCTAATATTTTATTATTCAAATTAGGCTTTATCCTTATGATATACTAGCTATAAATAGGACCCCTTGGCATCTTATATTTGTGGCTAATGATTCCAAGAAAATTAAATCCGAATTTCACTTTTTTCATCCTCTCTCCTTCTGATTTATAGGGTTCTAGGGTATTGGGTGTGAGCCATTAAAGACGTTTGTAACACCTCATCTTTCAAGTAACTTCAAATTCATCCCTTGGACTTTGAATTATGTCATTTTTGGCCTTTGGTTTGGAAGAAGTGGCAAACGGAAGCCCTAGTGGCAAAATGGTGATTTTGGGGACTTGAGAAGTACGTTTGGGCGTACATGTGAGTACCCTAAGCATACTAGGGCACGCCCTAGTATGCTGGGCGTACGTGTGCCAGGGTGAAACCCTAATTTTTAGGGTTTGTGGAGTATTTAAACATCTTATAGACCATTTCCTCCCATCTCTTCCAGCCTCCAAGTCTTTGAACCGTTCTTAGCAAACCTTAGTCTATAACAAAGAGTTTTGGAGCCTAAAGTGTGATGTTGGTATGGTTGAATGAGAAGAAAGAGCATCAAAGGAGTCAAGGAAGGAACCAAGCTTGTAGATCTGGGGTTTTCATCTTCTAGGGAAGCTTCAAAAGGTATAAAGTTCCTATGTTTGTGCTTAGATTTGTTAGATCTCATTTGGGTTGCTTTTGATATTCTTATTGTCCCAAAGAGTGTAATTTTGTGCATGCTTTGTTTTGGTCGAGTTAAGCTGTCCTTTCAGACCCTAGGATGGGTCCTAACTCCTAAGGCATAAAAATGAGGTCCCTTGAGCTAGTTTAGTCCCTTGTTCTTTGTAGGAGGTCTTAAGGGATTAATACCATGCATTAAGCCCTTTTTGGTCAACCAAATACTTAAAGTTTGAGACTTTATGGTTCTAGAGCACATTTGGGTAGTGGATCTGAAGTTTGAGCTTAGGTGCTTGATCCATTAAGCACTTATTGGAGTTTTAAGACATACGAAGGTACGCCCCGCGTTCGGAGTCAGGTCCCCGTAACTGGTTAATGTAAGGCGAGGTACGTCCCGCGTACCGAAGGGGTACGCCCCGCGTACGTCCTCTATTTGGAATTCGGACTTTGGGCTTTGGGTATTGGGTCATCTGTTGGGATTTGATACTTGGGCCCTAATGTACCAACTGGATAAGTGTGTTTTGGGCCTATTAGAGGACCAGACCTTTGGATAACGCCCAATAAGGAGTTAAGCCCAATTTAGAAAATTGGGCCAAGTGTGGGCTTGAAGTGATTTGGGCCTTTTGGATCAAGAGTTGGGTTAGGCTTGTATTGGGTTGTGATGGACCGTATGGGATTTTATGGTTTGGGCTTTTAGCTTGCTGGATCTTCTTGAGTGAAGGCCATTAGGCCCAATTTGGAAAATTGGGCCATAATTGGACTTAAGGAGTTTATTTTTGGTATTGGGCCTTTTGTCATCTAGTTTGGGCCTTGGCTTTGGGCCAAGCTTGAGGAAGGGTAAAAAGGTCTTTTACCCTGTATCGGATTCATAGTGTGAGTCAGTGGCCAGATGTTGATGTATTGTCATTTTGGTGTATGTTAGCATGTGTGTGGTAGCGGATCTGCAGTCAGCTATTGATGGCGGTGGTGGATCGGGGTTCTGGCAGCCAGCAGTCAGGGATCGTCTGTGTGATCGGCAGTACGAGGTAAGTTCTTCTCACTATATCAACAGGGTCTAAGGCACCAAGGTCGGCCCTTTGGATTGTTATCCTGATTTGTTACTATTATGATCTGTTAGATCGGTAT